GAAGAGAAAAAGGAAGGAGAAAAAAGAAAAAGAGACAAAAAGGAAGAAAGAGACAAAAAGGAGGAAAAAAGAAAAAGATAAGATAAAAAAAGAAAAAAGAAAGAAAAAAGAGAAAACACCTCTCTCCATTTTGGCTCTTTTATACTCTACACCCAGACCTACAATCTATCCATGCCTTCTGGCTTTAGCCACTACTACCAGGTATTTAGTCCCCACTCTTACACCTTCCTAGTTTCTCCACCCACTCAGTAGGTTTTTCCCTTTGTTTCTTCAAATTACAAAAAGAAAGAAAATAGTGATGAATTATGTAATATCTAATCTCCTATATGGCTGTATATCTTCATAGATAAAGAAGAGACCAAGACGTGATTCTAAAAACATATGCTAAAAATCCAAATGACAGAACAAATGGAGCAAGGAAGAAGTCTACAGAAAAAAAAACAAGAACAAAGAAACCTATGCTTAAAATCAGAAAAGACAGTTGAAATTTCTGGAACATAGAATAAGGAAAGAGAGTTTGGAGAATTTAACACTCACAGGATATACTGAAGGCAAGAGACATGGAAGGAAATGGTAACTTTAATGAGTTTGTATGAATGGATGGCAGAAAGGTAAAGAGTACAAAGACACTGCAAAATACAGGAAGTTGTGGAGACCTATGATCAGCAACATTCTGAAAGGATATAGCACATAAAATAAGTGAAAAGATAACAGAACAGGGACAAAGAGAAATCGTAAAGGGGACAAAGATACTTCAAGCAATTTTTTTCTTATGTTAACGAACACTCATTGTCACATTCGTAATGCTTATCATAGCAGAGCCTTTGTAATCGCAGATACAACTATAGTAACACAGTTGAACAATACTGGTGTTAGATGCCTTCGAATAACACTTACACTTGCTCGATAATACTCGCTCGAATAGTAACCACTGAATAGTGATTAGTATAGAGAAATAGTATAGTGAATAGTATAGAGATAGAGGATAGTGTAGAAATAGTGATCAATTAGATGCCACACTAATTCCCATATATACATTTCCTTTACAATCACATGATCTATTTATTCAAAATGGGATTGCCTGTGTTTGCTCTCTGGTGATCTGTGTTCAAACTCCAGTGTTGGCAGTGATACTTTATTCCTATATAACACAACAAAATACATGAAGTTGTAGAGAGCCATGATTACCCATGTTCTGACACTGTACAAAAGAAATGAGTATTAGATAGTAGACATCTAATTACCTGCTAGTAAAGGTTTGTAAACTTGCATTACTGATACTATCCATTTGATAGAGCTGTTTTCTAAAATGTATCAAGGCAATGTAATTATATTTATAAACTAACAATTCTAACAAGCAAAATGAATATGAAAGGCTCATTGACAAAAATATCATAAAATTCATAACCAAAATAACAAAATTAAAAGAAAGATGTAAGAAGAGAAAAATAATTTGTGCAAAGAAAATGGTTCATGAGAGATTATTTCTGTTTGCATTAAAAGCAACATTCCAAAAAGGTAATATAGTTGGAGCTCTTTAAGAGATTAAGGAAGGCTTTGTTGACAAAGATTGTTGCAGAGAAAACAGGTTAGAAAGAACAGAAGTGAGAGAGAGAGAGCAGGGGAGTGGAAGAGAAAGGAAGAAAGCAGGGGAGTGGAAAAGAGAAAGAAAGAAAGAAAGAAAGAAAGAACAGAAGTGAAAAAGAGAAAGAAAGAATTGGAGTGAAAAAGAAAACAAAAGAACATCAGTGAAAAAAAATGAATGAAAAACAAGAAAGAACAGAAGTGAAAAAGAGATAGAACAAATAAAAGAAGAAAAGGAGTGGGAGAAAGAGAGAGAATGAAAGTAAGAAAGAACAAGAGTGGGAGAGAGAGAGAGAATGAAAGTAAGAAAAGAAACAAGAATGGGAGAAAGAGAGAGATGAAAGTAAGAAAGAACAAGAGGGGAGAAAGAGAGAGAATGAAAGTAAGAAAGAACAAGAGTGGGAGAAAGAGAGAGAATGAAAGTAAGAAAGAACAAGAGTGGGAGAAAGAGAGAGAATGAAAGTAAGAAAGAACAAGAGTGGGAGAAAGAGAGAGAATGAAAGTAAGAAAGAACAAGAGTGGGAGAAAGAGAGAGAATGAAAGTAAGAAAGAACAGGAATGGGAGAGAGAGAAAATGAATGTAAAAAAGAACAGGAGTGGGAGAGAGAAAAAATGAATGTAAGAAAGAACAGGAGTGGGAGAGAGAGAGAGAGACCACATGTGAAAAAGTGAGGGATAGAGTGTAAAAGGGAGAGAGAGAGAGAAAAGACAAAAGAGCAAAAGAGAGAGAGAGAAGGAGAAAGAGAGAAGGAGAAAGAACAAAAGACAGAGAGAAGGAGAAAGAGAGAAGGAGAAAGAACAAAAGACAGAGAGAAGGAGAAAGAGAGAAGGAGAAAGAACAAAAGACAGAGAGAAGGAGAAAGAGCAAAAGGGAAAGAGAAAGAGAAGAGAGAGAGAGTAAGAAAGGAAGAGTGGGGAGAGAAAGAGAGGAAAGAGAGAAAGAAAAAGTAAGAAAGAAAGGAAGAGGAGCAGGAGAGAAAAAACAGGAGCAAAAGAGAGAGAGAGAGAGAGAGACCAGGAGCAAAAGAGAGAGAGAGAGAGAGAGAGAGACCAGGAGCAAAAGAGAGAGAGAGAGAGAGACCAGGAGCAAAAGAGAGAGAGAGACCAGGAGCAAAAGAGAGAGAGAGACCAGGAGTAAAAGAGAGAGAGAGAGACCAGGAGTAAAAGAGAGAGAGAGAGAGGCCAGGAGTAAAAGAGAGAGAGAGAGAGGCCAGGAGTAAAAGAGAGAGAGAGAGAGAGGCCAGGAGCAAGAGAGAGAGAGACCAGGAGCAAAAGAGAGAGAGAGAGAGACCAGGAGCAAAAGAGAGAGAGAGAGACCAGGAGCAAAAGAGAGAGAGAGAGAGACCAGGAGCAAAAGAGAGAGGAGAGAGAGACCAGGAGCAAAAAGAGAGTGAGAGAGAGACCAGAGCAAAAGAGAGAGAGAGAGACCAGGAGCAAAAGAGAGAGAGAGAGAGACCAGGAGCAAAAGAGAGTGAGAGAGAGACCAGGAGCAAAAGAGAGAGAGAGAGAGACCAGGAGCAAAAGAGAGAGAGAGAGAGACCAGGAGCAAAAGAGAGAGAGAGAGAGACCAGGAGCAAAAGAGAGAGAGAGAGAGACCAGGAGCAAAAGAGAGAGAGATACCAGGAGCAACATGTGAAAAAGTGAGGGATAGAGTGTAAAAGAGAGAGAGAGAAAGACAAAAGAGCAAAAGAGAGAGAAAGACAAAAGAGCAAAAGAGAGAGAAAGACAAAAGAGCAAAAGAGAGAGAGAGAAGGAGAAAGAGCAAAAGAGAGAGAGAAGGAGAAAAAAAGAGAGAGAGAAGAAAGAGCAAAAGAGAGAGAGAGAAGGAGAAAGAGCAAAAGAGAGAGAGAGAAGGAGAAAGAGAAAAGAGAGAGAGAGAAGGAGAAAGAGCAAAAGAGAGAGAGAGAAGGAGAAAGAGCAAAAGAGAGAGAGAGAAGGAGAAAGAGCAAAAGAGAGAGAGAGAAGGAGAAAGAGCAAAAGAGAGAGAGAGAAAGAGAGAGAGAGTAAGAAAGGAAAAGAGGGGAGAGAAAGAGAGGAGAGAGAGAGAAAGAAAGAGTAAGAAAGAAAGGAAGAGGATGAGGAGCAGGAGAGAAAAAACAGGAGCAAGAGAGAGAGAGAGAGAGAGACCAGGAGCAAAAGAGAGAGAGAGAGAGACCAGGAGCAAAAGAGAGAGAGAGAGAGAGACCAGGAGCAAAAGAGAGAGAGAGAGAGAGAGAGACCAGGAGCAAAAGAGAGAGAGAGAGAGACCAGGAGCAAAAGAGAGAGAGAGAGAGAGACCAGGGAGCAAAAGAGAGAGAGAGAGAGAGACCAGGAGCAAAAAAGAGAGAGAGAGAGAGACCAGGGAGCAAAAGAGAGAGAGAGAACGGGAGCAAGAGAGAGAGAGAGAGAACGGGAGCAAGAGAGAGAGAGAGAGAACGAGAGAGAGAGAGAGAGAGAACGGGAGCAAGAGAGAGAGAGAGAGAACGGGAGCAAGAGAGAGAGAGAGAGAACGGGAGCAAGAGAGAGAGAGAGAGAATGGGAGCAAGAGAGAGAGAGAGAGAGAGAACAGGAGCAAGAGAGAGAGAGAAAGAGATCCAGAGAGAACAGGAGCAAAAAAGAGAAAGAGATCCAGAGAGAACAGGAGCAAAAGAGAGAGATCCAGAGAGAACAGGAGCGAGAGAGAGAGAGAGAGAGAGAGAGAGAGAGATCCGGGGAGAACAGGAGCAAGAGAGAGAGAGATCCGGGGAGAACAGGAGCAAGAGAGAGAGAGATCCGGGGAGAACAGGAGCAAAAGAGAGAGAGAGATCCAGAGAGAACAGGAGCAAAAGAGAGAGAGAGATCCAGAGAGAACAGGAGCAAAAGAGGGAGAGAGAGACCCAGAGAGAACAGGAGCAAAAGAGGGAGAGAGAGACCCAGAGAGAACAGGAGCAAAAGAGGGAGAGAGAGACCCAGAGAGAACAGGAGCAAAAGAGGGAGAGAGAGTCCCAGAGAGAACAGGAGCAAAAGAGGGAGAGAGAGACCCAGAGAGAACAGGAGCAAAAGAGGGAGAGAGAGACCCAGAGAGAACAGAAGCAAAAGAGAGAGAGAGAGAGAGAGAGAGAGATTGAGAGAGAACAGGAGCAAATGAGAGAGAGAGAGAGATTGAGAGAGAACAGGAGCAAATGAGAGAGAGAGAGATTGAGAGAGAACAGGAGCAAATGAGAGAGAGATTGAGAGAGAACAGGAGCAAATGAGAGAGAGATTGAGAGAGAACAGTAGCAAATGAGAGAGAGATTGAGAGAGAACAGGAGCGAATGAAAGAGAGGGAGAAAGAACAAGAGTAAGTAGAGTGAGAAATATTACAATGGAACGAGAGCAATAAATAAAGAGGCATATATATATATATATATATATATATATATATACGAGAGAGAGAGACAGACAGACAGAGTGAGGAATTAGTACAGGGAAAAAGAGAGAACTGAGAAACGGAACATGTAGATAGTAAGAAATAAAACAATGTACTGAGTGAGAAAGAAATGAGAAAAGTAAGTACAAAGTGAAACCGGAGGGGAGATAATTGATAAAATATGAAATGTGAAGAAAGTGACAGCAAGTGTATGGAAGGAGAAAGAGAGAGAGAAGACAGGTATAGAAAGAGAGACATAAAAGAAACAATAAGTATCAGATGATGGAGAGAGAAGATGCAAGAAATGAAAAGATGAGTTGGAAAGACAAGGAAATGATGCAAAAATTTCAGGAGTCAGAAGGGAGAGAGTAAATGCAAGAATGTAAAAGACATGATGGAGAGAGATGATGCAAGAATTGAAAAATGGAATGAAAAGACAAGGAGTGGATACAAAAACTTAAAAAAAGACACACAAAAATAGCAAAGCATAAGTTTATAAGTAACAAGTAAAAGTAGGCGTTAAACCAAATAAACCAATCCTGGCAAAGTGTCCAAGAAGAAAAAAATATATATTATCTGAAAACGATCTCAACTCCAAATTATTATTCATTCTATTTTAATTAAAAATAAGATAAAAAATCTTCAAACATTTAGTGCAGCTGCCATTCTGAACAGGTCAATAATACAAATTCACAAGAAATTGCTTTCTCTGATCTTTTAAACAAAAATCAAACTTTGAAAAGTGGGCATGAGAGTAAAATTGCCAAGTAAATTTTTTAGTGTTAGTTTTCAGTAAACAGTTTTTAAACTGCAACAGCAGTTTTTAATGAATATATTCAAAAGCAACGTCAGAAGATAAGAAACTAAGAATCCAGACATTCTCTGTCATGTCTCAAGAAAATGGAAGGTTTTAACAAATATAGTAGAAGGGAATTGGGTAAATAGAACTCATTAGCCTGGGAGGGCAATTCAAGAGAAGGAAAACTGATTTTCGACATTTTCTTGTAGCCATACCCAATCATAAGGAAAGCATCAGCTGTAAACTCTATAAATCTGGAGCCGGAGTTCCTAAAGCAATTCAATGTTGCATCTAACTATATTCTCGCAATTTTTGCAACATCACTGCTAAGCAGTATTGGTACCTGCTCTTCACTTGGGTAACATCAGTGGTGCGGGAAGACATGCTTCATGAGAAACTGTTGATCATGCATAAAATCCTGCCATGGTCTGTGAACACTTCAGTGTTACTTTATTGTGGTGGTAAACAAGCAGAATCAAAACATCCAAAGTGTAGATTCAGGGTCTTTCAAGATTGATGGATGCCTTACAGTTTTCTGTAACTGAATGATTTTGCAATGAACCCTAATTCCAATAATTAAATCCTTTACTAAATAATCTTCAGCTTAATATGAAATATCAATAACTAATAGTCAATACTGTCAATGGTACACTGAAAATTATGTATGTACCAGAAAAAGAAGACACTTTTTAACTGAAACATTTTAATTTCAATAACTTATTGAAACATTTAATTATCATATTTGCAAACCTATTGGATGCAAATTTTTTCCAAAATAATGCACCAAAAAATTATACTGTATCCGATACAGTTGTATCATGTACATGAGTGACATGAAGACTGCGAAAAGTGGGGTTTCACCAGGAATCAGTGTACGCATAGAGCTTAGCTCTGAAACTAGGACTCCTGGGAGTGAACGAATATGATATCAATAAAAACAACCCATCAAAATTCATGCAGGAAAAAGAAATTAAAAAATATAGGGAATTGTACAATATTTTGATGCTTGTTTTATAGAAATTCTGCTATATTGCTGCTTGCTTTGTGTATTTTTTTTTTGTTGATATACAGGTACTGGAATTTGCTTTTCTGCATGTATGGCATGGGACTTTATTTACAAACAAGTAGCATATTTCTGGGGGTGTTTTTGTTTTTGCATATTACCATATGTACCAGTGTTCACTGATTTCTTTGTAGCTATTAGGAATTTGATGTGCAAATGTTGCTCCCTGAAAAACAGCTAAAACAATTTTCAATAAATGCATCATGAAATGTACTAAAATTCTTCTTTTCCAAAAAATGTCCTGGTAATTAAACTGTAAGTGTTTCTTCATGGTTACTGAGAATGTCAATTAAATCTAAGGTTATAATCTTTATTTTTGGGGTTGTGACTATTGCATCTTCCCCCCACCTAAATATTTCCCAGATTGGAATATAGTACTGATAAATATAGTATTCTATAGGAAGATTCTATTTCAAGGATTTCTAAAGCAAAATGACTTATTGAGAAAATATAGTGCTGAGGTTTCTCATTGCCTTCTTCAGAGTTTTGAATTCATTTACAGATACCACAGAGTTCTTTGTAACTCATAATGATTTTGCAATGAACACTAATTCTATTAATTAAATCTGTTGCCAAATAATTTTCAGCTTAATATGAAATATCAATAACTCATTATTTCAATATGTTTTGAATTCATTATAAATCGTCCATCCATTTCAGAATAAATTCACTCAAATTTTCAACTATCTTGTGGTGCCCCTGAGAGCTAGCTGTCGTACACCAAAGTTTTGCAGTGTATGCTTTGGAACCTCTGCCTTAAACAGTTTTACCACAACATTTGCCTCAACAAGGTATAAATCTACAGTCACAAATGAACTCCTGTGAGATGGGATGCAAGAACTTAGAAGTCACAAATAGTAACATCATGGGAAATCTCTTTGGCAGTTTCTTCACTTATTTAATTTAATATTTTTAAATTTATTCCAACCTAATTTAACCCTTGTATTCCAACCTTATGGTGCCGAAGTTGCAGTCTGCTTGTTGGATGTCTCCTAATCTCCAATACACCCAATGAAGAAGGCAGGCCATGATGAGACAACACCTTACTGATTGGGGGCTGCCCAGCTTGAGGCGGGTGGCAACTGTCCAATGTGATCCAAAAACCTCACCCACCAATGAGAATGACCCCTGGAACTGTGCTCTACACCAATTGAGTGGTAGCTTGTAACTAATAACTGCCATTCTGTGTTGTGTTGACACCAGAGACAAAGCTGGAGTGTCCTCTCTGGGTGTAGTGCAGGGTGTTTTGGTGCAGTGTAGTGTGGTCAGATGCAAGCTTGGGTGATCTCATATAGAGGACAGACTATTGCCCATGTATCATGTCCCCCCTCTCCACGTCACCAGTAAGACCAAAGGACTGACAGGGTCGTTACAGGTTGGGACCGGTGCCATCACAGGAGCTATCAGAATGGGTTGGGTACAACAGCAAACTGCCTTAGGGACACCATCTCCAGATTTATCCTCAAGGTTTACTCCTGAAGCCTTTTCTGTGCTTGGATATGGCTGCAAGGCAGTGGAGGTTTGAAATAAGGGTTTTTCTTCCCCTAAATGAACTACCTTCTCAGGTTGTTGAGCTCCACCTACCCAACCTTACACAATTTAATTTAACTTTTTTTCAGAACAGACTGGTCAAATCTGGCCAGACAAATACATGCAATCATTTAAAACCAGATTTAATAAAACAAATGGACCATAGAGGAGAATAAGCTATTGAATCATGAATCAGCCTGAGCAAGATGTGGCAATAATTGGTTTCAAAATTAGCTCTGTGTGATTTTTCCCCTCAATAGATGATTAAAATCTAATTTTATGACAACCAAGCATAGACTTATCAATGCTGACAAGGGCTTACATGCAATTCTTGACTCTGATAACTTGTTAGATAAATTTAGTTCCAATGACAACTTGCACAAAATTGGAAGCAGACCAACTATAAAAGGCAATAATGTAATGCTACTGATACAGTTTTGTCTACAATATATGTTTTTTGGTGGGAGGTTTTTCAATTTATTGCATTCACTTTTCATAGAAACAATTAAAACCAAATAGCAACAAATAAAAGCCACTTTTTATGAAGCCTGAGCTTGCGATTAATGCCACCATGGAAATAAGATGTTCAGATGGCATAATGGCGAGCAGTTTGGAATGAGATATTAAAGTTTTCTCCTTTTATATGCATTGTCTCTTCAGGACGTAGGCAATCATGGCTCCCCACATCTTCCTGTCCCTTGTAGCTCTTAATAAATTTTGTCTTTTTGTTATTTCTCTTAAACCCTGTTCTACTATCCATTTACTCAAGCTCATTCTTCTATATGCCGTGTCCCATCAGGATGTAGGTGATCATGGCTCTCCACAATTTCCTGTTCTTTGTAGTTCTTAATAAATTTTGTCTTTGTTATTTCTCTTAAACCCTGTTCTACTATCCATTTACTCAAGCTCATCAAGTATGTTATGCACTGCTTTTGCCGCCAATCTGTCTTGTGAGCATCAAATTTTCCAAGTCCTCTTTCCTCATTATGTGCTCTACAAATTTCAACAGTCTTTTTCTGATGTATAATATATTTTTCTTTTTGTTGCCATTTTCTCCAAAACCTTGTTGTTGCTCACATGTTCATGAAGAAGGCAAAAATGTGATGGCAATTTACAAATATCAAAAAAGATTTTTTAAAAAGTCAAGAAAAGGCTGTGCAGAATCATAACCACTTACATTGTGGAGAAAAAAAAAAAAAAAAGACGTGGTAATATGACAAGAATAGAGTTGCATATAAATATCGGCTTCTATGAACAATCCTATATGGCAGTGAATGCTGGACAATCTCCACACAGATGAAGAAGCAATTTAAAGCAAGAGAAATGTGAGCAATGACTAAGTTTTAGATAAAATGTAAACAAGAAGGAAACTTATTCTTAATATCAGAAAGAGATAGGTGAAATTTCTATGGCACATAATGAGAAAAGAGGGCTTGGAAAATCTGATACTCACAGGATAGATTGAAGGCAAGAGGGACAGAGGAAAATAATGCATACTTAGTGAGCTTGAGTAAATGGATGGTAGAACTAGATTTACGAGAGATAACAAAAAGACAAAATTTATTAAGAGCTACAAAGGACAGGAAATTGTGGAGAGCCATGATCCCTTACATCCTAAAGAGACACAACACAAAAAGAAGAATGAGCTTGTGTAAATGGATGTCAGAATAAGGTTTAGGAGAAATAACAAAAAGACAAAATTTATTAAGAGATACAAAGTGCAGGAAATTGTGGAGAGCCATGATCGTCTACTTAAGTGACACAGCACATAGAAGATTATTCATGTAAACCTGAAGACAAAGTAATCCCTCACGAGATCTTTTTTTCAGCCATATCAAGATAATCATTACTTTCATCATCTTCGTAACTATGTACAAATTGCCTTGAATCACAAAAAAGGCCATTGTGCCATATCTCATTATCCACTGACATATATAGAGATACCTCCCATGGGGTAATGTCAGATAACCCTGCCAGTCAAGCCTATCAAAGTGTATGAAAATCCCGGAATAAGGAAATTAGCACAAACGAACTATCCACTGTCAACAAAAGCTGCCTTCTGAAACATTTTCAGACCATAGTGTGTTCAGTTGTTTATAACATTTTCATTCAGTACAAAAGCACTGCAACAAATTCTCTATTGAACATGACATTTGATGACATAAACTTATGCTACTTAGGATGATATTAGCTAATCTCACACATGGCTTTAATCTCATTCATTCACAACTCCTCACTGTGGGGTAAGGGAGAGAAGTAAAAGAGCCCAATTTGGTGTTAATAGAAGTCTCTCATTCATAGGTGCATAGTCGTTAGCAATATCTCCCTATGTCAATAAATCACAACCAAGAACTGGGAAGCTTCTTGTTCATCTATAAATACTGAGATAGGGAGGTGCAAGTGGCGTAACAGTTAACACTATGCAGAACAGAATCAGAAAACCAAGTTCGAATTCAACCTGAGATATTTCAGTCAGTCAGTTATGTGCCAGGCAGTCCCCCCCTCCGTCCCCGTAGTAGGTTGCCATTTCTTTCTGCAGTAGACCAGTTGCCATCCAAGGCTATAGAACCCAGTCTGTCCTGCTATTTACCCATAGCTGGTGGAGGAGAAGACGAGTATTCATACCTTTCCCAAGGGTATTAGCACGTAAGTGAATGTAATGGATTTGACTGGAATTCGAACTTGGCTTTCCGATTCCTCAATTCGAGCTGCTATCCATTAATCCACCATACCTCGAATTCCTGAACGTACAGAACAATCATGGCTGATAGCAATAAAATGAAGACATTTTATGACAATAATCAACATTTTATGATGTGGGTGATCACCAACATACCCCCAAATATCCTAATCAAGCACTGAAATCATTTGTACCAGTTTGTTTATGTTAGTCATTTTGATGTGTGGCTTCCACTTAAGCAGGAAGAAAAAAAGTAACTTGAATCTATTTAATTGTTCTGTTTTTGAAACAAATTGTGATGAACAGTGGATACTTAATAACAATGTGGGATGCCTAAAGACCATGGTGCAATTGAAAAGAATTACCACAAATTGTAGCAAAGGTCAATCTTTATTCCAACAAAATAATGCTGTACACAAGATGAGATTGGAAGCAAGTCCTCTACTATGACCTTTTTTTTTGAGAAGCAAGCAATTGCTTTGAACAGGCATGAGATCAACTGAAGGCAGCAATCAACAGAAAGTGTTTCAAAATTAGTCAAGAGAAAAGGTATAATATTTTATCAGAAAAGCACAAGACAATATTTTTCTTTGGTAACCAAGTAAGAAGTATTACAGTTTGGTTGGCAAGTTCTCACCAATTTGCCATGTCCCCTAGATATTTTGACTCCAGATTACCATTAATTCTGGTTTTCACAGATTTGTCTTAATGTAAAGGTACTGAACTCCCATAGACAGAAAAAATCAATATGTTGTTTAGTAAAGCTATTGCTGAAAATAACAAAAAATAATTTTATTTTTACTTAATAAACCAAACCAATTGGTTATGCAATACTTTTTTTTTAACTAATGTTCACCCAACAGAAAGCCCAAGAGCCACACAAGGTAAAGGATTAGTATGTGGTATTGTATGAGCATAAGAAAGAACAAAAAGTGAAATTCTTGAGGATATACAGAAAAGATAACAAATCTAGTCTTGAAGTGATCAAGATTTAATTAATGAAACATTTCAGAGATGTTAGAAGTAATAATGTGGAAGCAGACTTAAGGAATTGGAAACCCAATCCTAAACAGGAAACAAGAGATAAACCACTACTCCTGTTCAAAAGACTGGGAGGAGTGTGAACCGGATGATAGGTGAACTGACCTACACCTTCAAATATATAAATAATACAATGTAAAAAAAAAAAAAAAAAAAAAAAAAAAATTTATTTTTATTAGTGAGTTGTGTTTATATACATATATATCTTGATCTTTGTTTTGTGAAGCCATGATTTTATGTAAGAAATATACATAATATCTTACACTGATTGCACAATTCCAATTTTCATATGTTCCGCATTCGCCAGGTGCAATTTTTGTGTTTAACATTGCTTCTTTAATATTTCTGTTTAATGTGAGATATTTTATTGTAAGGGTGGATTATTATTGTTGTTAAAATATTTAAGATTGAAATAAAGTTGAAAATTAAAATTAGAAGTTCTGATTTGAAGAGACGCTGTTGGTATCAAAAGGAATGAAGAAAAAAAAACATTTGGAAATCAAGGAGGGCAACTCTATTTTTTTCCATGAAAATCAATAAAGTAATTAATAATATTATTAATATTAATAAACTAAATAAGCATAGTTATATCAATAATAATAGAATATGATGTGATAAATAAAATTAAAGTACTAATGAAAATAAAATAATATGAAATAAAATAAACATATAAACATGTAAATTCTAGAAATAAGTAAAATAAATAAAATTATAAATGCAAATAAGATAAATAAGTAAATAAACATGTTACTAATAGTAAAACTAAAGGTAAGAGAAA